ACTTGGGTAATGGTGGAAGTGGTAGCAAGGAAATTTTGTAGAAGGGGGGGGACTGCTGAGTTACACAAGATTCCAGAAACACAGCACACGCCTGATCCACCCTCATATGTAGAGCTCAAGTCAAAGGCATGGCGCGCTCCAACCACCTGGACCAACCTCGGCTTCCCCGGAGACCAAACTCATTTGCTATCGCAGAAGTTTGACAAGGATAAGAATGAGGTTCTAGTCTACATTTTCTGGAAGTTCTGAGGAAAGAGTGGAATTCAAGAACGAGAGACTCCCTGGGAAACTCGGCATTACCCCTTGATGGAGCGGACTTTATCACCTGAGGTGAAAGCGGGGTGCCGGTCAGGAGTTCTGAGATAACGACACATAGGGACTGCTCGCAAAGCTTCCCCCACCTTGTTTACTGGGTCTGATGTAACTCATTGCGACAAATCAATTAAGTTCATGGTGTAGTAACGAGAGATATTTCTCCGCAGAGAAGAATTCCTGAAGTGTGGACGTCTCGGATTTTTTAAAGACTATCGACCTTTTCTCTTTGTCAGAAACAAACCTAAAAAACGCAGGAAAGAAATAGAATCAAGAGTGGAAAAACTGATCAAACGACTCACTTCACTTTCTCTTTTATACTTGCTAAAGTTGCCGTGTACGAGTTTCAGTTGTGGGCAGAGCTTTTTTGCGATGAAACCCGGCATAGCCGCTCTGACACCGAATCGACGAGCTAGGTAATTCGAGGTACTCTGAAATACTTCACCTGAACTTTCAATGTCATGCTCAGCCATCTCGAAGAAATTTTACAGCATTTTGTTATTTCTAGACCGCGCCGCGCCCATTCCCGGTGCTATTTACCCTTCGCTGCCCCATTCTTCCGTGACCAGGCTAGCTCTTACCGACTCTTTTCTCCGAAAGCTGATTTGGCTGAAAATTTGCCTCTTGGAGTAGTTTCACCTTCTGGACACGAATATCACACCTACTTGACGCGAAACTGACTGGTGCAGATGGTAGGCGACTGCACGACATGAATGTTTTGACTTCAGCGAGTGTAACGTGTACCGTCCCGTGCCAGCCAGTGTGCTAGTGCAGCGGGAAACACAGCGACACTAACCTAAGCAGTACCCTTCATGACTGCCTGCCATGATGGTCTCCCCATTGCTAACCATAGGTCTCATCCTCAGCACACGAAGGAAAGATTGTTTCGGGCCTAGGGTGCGGACAACAGACGGCTGCACTTTAATTCGTACACCTTTCTTCATTCTTACCCACCCCGCCACTCCATGCAGATGGAATATACGTGTTCAGGAAGTCAGACTACCCCTGAGGACAAGTCTTTAGTGAAATTGGTTGTTCAGGCTCAGGCGCCATGCGGTTTTGTGCCAATCGGTGCGATATCCATGTTCAGGGAAGTCGAACAACCCTTCGTCGAACAACCCTTCTGGACCAGTCCCCAGACAAATTAACTTTCTGACCCGATTTTCGAAAACTGGGCTAGAAATAGGTAAATGATTCGGCGTTTTTGAGCGTTCCTCGAAGGTTGTAGGGGCAGTTATCATGTGAAACACATCTACGCTCCAGGTTCAATTCTGTGCAGACACTAGCAAAGAGTGGTGAAAATTCGAGAAGTTTACCGAGACTACCGCTCTGATCGAAAGTACTGTATCATTGAGGATCTATGTACTGTATACTTACCAACATTGCAGATGTACCAACGGCCATGGGTACGGTACGAAGGCTTGGATCGTCACGCATTTCCACTGCAGCAAAATAGGCATCCATATCGATATGAACACAGTCTCGCCGGAGATCACGGTGACACTCCAATC